GTTACATTTTTATAAAGCTTTAATGTACATAAAAACCAGCTTCTTGTTTAAGTGAAAATAAATGGAAGGTTGTCCTTTTGCGCTAGTAATGTTGTGAAGTTGTATTTTGTCTCGCATCAATTATATCGTCAGTTATATCGTTATCGCAAATTTTCAAATATATATCGTGATAAATATTTTTGGCCATATCGCCCTGCTCTAGTCACGCTCGTGTCCGGAGTTAGCGGTGTTAGCCAGGACTCCGTTAGCATCATGATGCTACATTGCCAGTTTCTTTTTTTTTTTTTTTTGTATAAAAAAAAAACAACTTTATTAAGAAACAGTATACAGAACATGTATACAATCAGAACAAAATTAACATATGCCAGGGGGTGTAATACAAAGAATTACAAACATTCAAATAATTTGTTACATTGCCAGTGTCATGCCAGCACCACTGCGCGATGCAGCGCTAACAGCTGATCCCTACTGTAAACAAAGGATCCATGCGCTGGGTCCCCAAACACGGCTGAAAGAGGTGGAAAAAAAGAGAGAAAGACAACCAAGACTAGCACAAAACGGTAGTCCATGATTGCAGAATCTAATTGCTAAAACTTTAGTTACAAAAAATTACGAGAAAGTAAAGAGGAGATAAGAAAGAAGCTCAGAATGAGCGGAGCTGCTGTAACAGGCTGCCACACACGGGGGGCGCCGGAAGTAAGGTTTTCAGGGGTCATCACACTGACCCTAAAGTAATTCATGCTAAAAATCTCGCTCTGTTAAGGAGATATATAAATATGAAATAATAAAAATAAATAAAATGAGAAGGAAAAATGCTGCATTAATAATTCTGTTTCATCTGCACTTTAGCAGGTCCTAAAATACTCTGATTACTACAGTGAGAGTACTCTGATTACTGTATGGTGGCAGGTGTCAGGACAGTGGTTATCAGTGTGAAAACCAAAGACAATTCAACTTTGATAACAGATATATGATTAACTTGTTAATTTTAATGGCTAAATTTCATATTCACAAGTCCAAATGTTTAGGAAGACATCCCTCTTTTTATGTATTCTCCTTTGAACTTGTACAGTATCTTAATTCAGTTAAGAACTCCACTAACCCAAAAGCTATAAAAACTATTGGTGTTTGTGAAAAAAATCAAGATCTTTCAGTCACTTTATTCTTTGGCTTGATCAGTTACTTTCCCCCTAGCATATTTATATTGTAGGTTCTGAATATTGTTTCTTTTGTTTGGCTACGGTATGCAATGTTTTTGTAAGTACAACACCATCAATGTGGTACTGTTTAATTCTATTTTGTATTGTACTGATGTTTAAATAAAGGTTTGAATGAAAAAAAAAATTGGTTATCAGTGTGAAGGTTCTGAGCGTGCTCATACTGAAGGAGGCATTCGATTGGCTGTTTTCCTGAGAACTCGTTTCATTGGTTAATGTTGTAAACACTCCCTGTCATGATCATGATTGCTAATTGTTAGCATCTGTGCGTGTGAGCAGCATGATAATGTCACATTAGGTTGGGCAGTCACATGACCTGTTTCCTGTCATCAGGTGTGTCTGTGGATGGAAGTGTGCAGTTCTGCAATGGGACCAGAGCGCGTCTTACCGAGCTCCGAGGACGAGCTGGGAGAGGACGAGCGACCGACGGACGGAACGCTGCCGCCGGGTGCCATGTGGGGTGGGGGGGAGGAGGAGGCAGTGGGGGAGATGGAGCTGGATGGCGAGGAGGAGGAAGACGAGGAAGATGGCAGTGGGGGAGGGTACTACTACCAGCCTCTGAACCAGGAGCCCGACGGTGTGAACGGTGGCGAACAGCCAGAGGATGACGAGGAGAAGCGGGGGGAGGAGACGGGGGAGACGGCCTCCCACTCTGAGCAGCTCCAGCAGGTGCAGCAGCGGATAGAGGTGAGATCTGCCCCGCGACAGGTGAGCCACGTCTCCCCTGGCACTCAGCTTACCTGCACGTCTTTCCACAGGTGTTGGGGCTGCACCTCCCCGAAGCTCCGCCTCCTGACAGCGACGAGGAAGAGGACCCCGAAGGAGCAGCTTCTGAGAGGAGCCGTGCCTCCATCCCCATGGACGCAGGTGAGACACACACCTGTGACACCTGTTCGGTGACTCAGAATAAACACTGACATCACTTCCTGTAACCCGCAGATCACGTCGAGCTGGTGAAGAGGACGATGGCGGCCGTGGCGCTGCCATCTTTGGGTGTGCCGCCGTGGGCGCGGGAGATCTCAGACGACCAGTGGAAGGACATGGTGCGTGACACGCTGCAAAGCCGACAGAGCGCCGCCGCCCTGCGCAAACCTCCCCGGGCCCTGAACGCACCACAAGAACTACATCAACTCTGAACTCTGACTGTCCTTGAATGCACCACATAGACATCACCATCACCGGGGGACCCTGAACGCATCGCGGCCATTCCTACAGATTAATGGACTGAGCACAGCACAACCACTTCGGGAGCCCCCAGGTGACATTGGACACCTGAGCTGAGCTCACCTGTAGCTCATTATGACCACTTCAGGGCCCACAGATAAATACAGTGCTTTGTTTCTCCAGAAAAGTGTAATTTATTGAAGCCCATAAAGATTCCAGGTGATCAATATGGTAATTATGAATAATCAATTAACAGTTTCAGTGAGTGATTGTTCTGGTGTTTGTTTATCACTGGATAAAAAGTTAGATATGTAACTGACAATATCGTTTTCTAACTTTAAAATCATACAGATATATAAATCAGTTATTGATCGGATCTGCTGATTGGTGGTAAAATATCAGTTATTGATCACTGTTTGATAACTCATGCCTGACTTATTTTGCACCTGTGTGAAAACACCGTCCTTTCTTTCCCTTTCCAAATAAAAGCGTCACACCGGTGCACAGTGTAAATGTAGTTTCACTGGAACATTTTTTTTGTTGTCGCTTGTTTTTAAACTCAAGTGGAAGATCAAATAAAGTCTGACTTCAATGTTTGCATCAGTGTTTTATTGTGAAAAAGCATCGGTCCCCAAACTGTTTGTGCACCAACCTGAGGTCCTCATCTGGTTTTATTCCAGCTGTGAACAGGATGTTTCTGAGGGTCAGTGCGTCCGAGAACATCAACGGAAGCTTGAATGCAGCACAGGAAGGTTCCTGTGAGCAGCAGCTGGGACAGGAAGTGGTTGGATTTTTGCACCTGTGGAATAATCACAGCGCCATCTGCAGAGTTTTGGGGTCATTTGAAACACTCCCTCCAGCTTGAGTCTGAGCGCGTGATGGGGAGCAGTCGTGGGTTTACATCCAATCAGATGTCAACAATGAACAGGCTCCGCCCCACCAAGCAGTTCAGGTTGTTTAGATGGACGAGTTAATCAGACTGAAGCTGTGTCCCAATTAAGGATCTGCACGCTTGAAGTACGCGCACTACGCGTACTACGTACTAGTACTATAAGTACGAGAAGTGCGGAAGTGAGAGGCTTGTGAAATGGGACGGTATACGCTTCGTCGCGCTGTTCAGGTTGCCTAGCAACCATAATACTAACCGCGAGACACGTTACATACAGCTTTGTTTGACAGAAATGAAGGAGAAAAATGTTTTGTTGGTCATTCATTTTTGTCATGACATCACTTTGATTAGCTGAGTATCTGAGGCTGAGACCACAGGACTGTAAACATGATTGTTGGGCTTCATTTCTGTGCTGAACAGTCATTTAAGATTAGTTAGTAAATAACAATTAGTTAATGTTGTTCATGAGACTAAAGTCACTGTGGCAATGTAAATATAATATGGCCAATATTATAGTATTGTCAGATTATTATGATATATACATACATACACATACATACATACACATACATACATACACATACATACAACACTACATACATACACATACATACATACACATACATACATACAAACATATACACATATATACACACACATATATACACACACATATATACACACACAAAACACACATACATACACACACATACATACATACACATACATACATACATATACATCAGAATCAGAATCAGAATACTTTATTCATCCCGAGGGAAATTAGGGGTTACAGCAGGCAGCACGCTAATGGCGCATGCGCACTCACAAAGGAACCTTCTGACCAACTTACACAAACATCACATTGGGCAGACATGTCAGAAGGTAGGCTGATAGGAAAAAACAACGAAAATACATTACAGAGGTAAGAGGAGGAGAAAAAAAAAACTCCACTCAGACTGAGCTCCTAGTGGGAGAACAGTTTGATAAAAGAAAAAACACCTCAGCACAAAAGCACATGATTATCAATACACCATAGAAACACGAGACAAGCAACAGGGGCGGGTAAAGGGTAAGAGAGAGCCGGCGTAGACAGCGCATCCGGTCCTGCAGCATCTGTGCTGGTCCAGTTGACTGCTATCATCCCCGGTAGGGCACAAGCATCGAAGGCGTTGGAAAGGGAGGGGGATGAGTGAGTGCTTATCAGTGTAAGTTGTTGTGTTACTGTCTTATTAGGGAAATTCCATCATACATAAATGTAAATTTCAAAACTCAACCCCATCATTTAATTTGTTTTTGATTGAAATTGAATATTACTTAAACTCTCTTAAATTAACTTCCAATAAAAAAGGTTTATCATTGATTGAAATTCATTCAGAAATGTTTAACGAATGAGCTGTCACAACTTTCAATACAAAGTTGTTATGAAGTCTGTCACATTCCCCCTTTTTTTTTTTTTTTATCCTTTATTTATTTATCCTTCTTATTTCATTGTACTGTATATTGTTACTCTTATTTGCCTTGTATGTCTACTGTACAAACTGAACTGGAATGACTGACTGTTCGCTTTATAATTTCAATAAAGTTTGGAAAAAAAAAAAACCTCTTCGGCCGCTCCCTTCTGCCGTATTTTGCGGCAAAATTATCCACACCCACCGCCGCGCTATGAATTGTGGGATATATGGGACCACGAAGCGTGCACCGGACCACGCTTGATATTTGGGGAAATCGACGGCGCATTTGGAGTATGCATTTGAAGCACACTTCGAATTGGGACAGCCGTCGTCGCGTGGCGGTGACGTAACCGCACTTGAAATGCGTACTTCAAGCGTGCAGACCCTGAATTGGGACACAGCTTGAGTTTAGTTCAGGGACGCTGCTGAGAGAAAATCAGTTTTGTCTTCAAAGAGATGTTTGAGTGTTGCTGTGAGACAGGTGAGACCGCCATCTTTGTAGATTTTTGTAGTTCACTTGTGTGTCTGCGTTTTGAAAGAAACACGCAGTGGGCAGGTTGACTGTACTTCAGTTTATTTCTGCTGTACATACATGAACATCTGTACAAAATCAGACTTTCATACCATGTGATGCTCGACCTCATTAAACATCTGTACACGATGACAGGAAGCAATGTCTCACTGTCACGGCCCGAGTGGACAGCACGCCGTCACACAACCCCGCTCCACCTGTCAGTCACTGCTGGAGGGAAAAAACAAACAGCTGTTTGTGCTAAAGGTTTGGTTCAGCAGCGGATTCAAAAACATTTTTTCAGCTCTCACAAAAAACAAAAATATAACTTAGACTGAGTGTGGGAAAGTTTGGTTCAGCCTGGAAACGGAAACTTTCACTCCAGCAGCGAATGACTGATAGGCGGAGGGGTCTCCGACTCTGACTGACAGCTGGATCTGTAGAGGACACACCAACACGGCAGCAGGAAGAAGTGCACGAGCGACAACAAATGAAACAGGCCCACAAGAACAAAGACTAGAAAGTATGTCAGCGTGGCCACAAGTCCGTACGTGGGATAGTTACAGAAAAGACAGAACCGCCCATCTCCACGGAGGCCTTTTTTCTTTTGTTCCTCATGTTTCAAACTGTTAAACAAAAGCACATGAACGGCGAGGTGGACGTGTCACAGCGTGCAAAATGTTTGGCCAATGAAGTGCTAAATTCATACAACTGACTTCATGTCAGCGACGCCAAACAGGAAGCTGAAAACGAGCCAATCGCATTGTTCCAAATCTGCTTTTATTACGAGCATCAAAACTGAAACGAATTAAGTTTACGCCGTGAAGAATAAAGGATGGATCGTGTGACCTCAGCAGCCAATAAGGCTCCGACTCCGCTGACAGAAAAAACACACACACAAAAAAATTATTTTATAAAGAAGCAAAACATGTAATAAAAAAAAGGTGAAAATTAGATTTTAAAAAGTTACAAATTTAAAACTAAAATGTGAAAAAAAAAAATCAAAATGAAGTTGCTGTTCTTTTACATGATGACGGCGTCGTTAACCTTTCCTCCTGTGTCCTCTTTAAGGGCCCTCCCATCTGGCACCAGTGCAGTCAATCAATAACTGATCAATAATCAGAAGCGTTTGACCTTTAACCCGAGGAGCTGCTGGCTAACACTTGAGGCGAGGCGACCTCAGCTGGACTAAAAAAAAAGATACACAGTGTGTGTGTGTTGGGGGGGTCCTGATAGGATGTTTACATTCACTGCGTCTTCCACATCATCATCATCATCGGCCCGCTTCAGTCTGCCAGACGTACAGACTAGCAGTCGATTGGCAGAGCTAGGGTTCAGGGGCGGAGCTGTGAAGCCGCTGTTGGAGAACTAAGCGGGTCAGTGAACGCATCAGCGCTGCGTTCAGGTGCAATGGGACAGAAGTGAGGAGCTGCAGCAGCACTGCGAAGCCCAGACCACTCTGCGTCTACTTCTCGTTTCCACGGAAACACTAGGTCAAAATTCCCCCCCCTTTTGAGGAAGGGGCTCTACACAAAAAACTCCGCCTTGTCACGGTTCATGCTTTTATTCTGAAATGTCAGAATGCTGTAGCTGATTCCTTTTTGTTGAACTGTGAAGATGATACAGCTGATGCTTTTATTCTGAAAAATAGAAAATGAAAAGCATTTAGTTTAAAGCGTACAGATGTTACAGCTAATGCTCTTATTCTGAAAAACTTTAGTTGATCGTTTCGGCCGACTTTTATTTGTTAGCGCGTTTGCGATCATCGCTGTTCTGCTGTCCTGAACCTGCTAAGGTTCTGATCACTAAAAAACAGGAACCAGCTGACCTGCTGCTGGCTCGCTGGATGAAGCATTCAAAGACGATTGTAAAAGTAATGGTGAGGCGTGTGGGCAGAAAGCAAATGCAGAGACAGCAGCTGCAGATCACGCAGCGTGGCGTCCTGGGGCAGGACGGGCTGCCGGCGATGCGTTGGTGTGCCTGATGTGGGTTCAGAACAAACAGCAGCAGGAGTTAAAGCGTGGGTGGAGGCGTGGGAGTGTTAGTGCAACATGAAGCTGATGTCCAATCACGGTGGACCGCTGACACAGTTTAAACAGCAGGTGGACGGACGGAGCTTCTACAGTGTCCTACGTGTGGTCGGCCACCAGGGGGCAGAGCTGAGCCGTTCTTATTTTTTTATTTATTTTTATTTTATTTTATTTTTTGGGTGAACACGGCGGTGTCAGCTCCGCCCTAGTCTGACCCGGGACCAGGCTCTCCACGACGGCATCAACTTCCTCCCCACGGAGACGGACGCAAGGGGGCGGAGTCTGGATTAGGAGGGGCCGCCTCCTCTGGTCAGAGAGCCTCCTGATTGGCCGTCAGGTACTCTTCAGCTCGCTTGTGAGCCTCCAGAGCTTTGATGGTGTAGACGTCCTGCGGCAGCTCCGACTTCCTCCTCATCAGGACCTTATCCTTCTTTAGATCCTTCAGACCCTGCATGCACACACACACACGCACAAAGATTCAGTGATTAAAAATATTTCACACACTCTCTGAAACTGAACCAATATTAATCTTGGTCGGCGTTAAATTTAGAAATTACTAATTTTTTGAATTTTTCAAAATAAAATTCAAGTAAATTTAAATGTGTTTCTAAATAAAAACAAATGTACCAATAAAAATATTCTCTGGGATTTAAATGTTTTTCTTCTCATATTTAAAGTAAAATGTCAGACAATTGCTGAGAAACGAATTCTAAAAATGATTTTTTTGCACTGATTCAAACATTAAAATGTAAAATTACAGGAAATCTTTAACAATAAGTTTCATAATATTCATATTCATCTAATTTTTTAATTAACAATACTTATTGATGCAATTATAACTAAGAGTTTGGAATCAAACTGTCGTCACATCAAACAGGAAGTCACAGAGAAAATGTCACACCAGAATATTAAAGCATTTTGTCTGCGAGGACGTGAGTGAGATCACTGTGTCTTTGTGTGTGTGCATGCTACCTGTGATGCCTCGCTCTCCACAGTCTTCTTCAGCAGCTGGATGTCTTCAGCTGTTGGCGTCTCTGTCTCCATTGAGTACACAGCAACGCTGCTGTTACTGTACACCATGTACTGCGCAAACACACACACACACACGTTACAGGTTGCCCTGATCCTCATGGATCGTCACATACACACATTAATTAGACACTGGGAGCTGACCTCTTCTTGTGGGTGGAGTCCTGGGCGTAGGGGGTGGAGCTTACTGCTCTGAAAGTAAAGAGAGACACAAAACGTTAATAGGGGAGGAATCCCGATGACCTCTGACCCACATTTCATCTAGAGACTCTGGGGACAGAGCTGATTAATCTGCAGATCGATCAAACAGAAATCGTCCACAGAGGGAAATCAGTGAACAGCCACCTCCTGCTACAGACACACAGTGTGTCCTGGTTTAACATGAACTCACTGCTGCAGCACAAAGTGCTCCCCTCACACTGACGGGTAGTTTCCTCCCAGGTATCGTCCTGTAAATAGTTAGCTAACCAATCACATGACGTCACGCTGACAGAAACGTTAGCAGTTGTTTCTTAAAGCCAGCGTCAGTCACATCTGCAGGGCTCAGTGTGCAGCGTTTCACGTCCCTGTGTTTGCTGTACCTGAGGGTTCTGCCGAGCCAGCTCCTCGATCCTGTGCCAAACCTCCTCCCGCTCCTTCAGCTTGTACTTCTCCCTGCAGGAGACGCACACAGTGAGAAAGAGGAGCAGAGGAAGAGGGGCAGAAAGCTGTGTGAATCCCAGAGTCGTACTTTTGTTTCTCGGCCTTGTACTGCTGCGTGCAGTCGTCAAACAGCTTCTGGTTCATCTCCATGAAGAGCTTCAGGGCGTTGTAGATCAGGCCGTGGATTGTCCTGAGGAGGAGGAGGAGGAAGATCAGTGTGGAAACAGTGTGAGCTGCAGCGAGACTCTTTGTTTCATTTATGTTTTATTCATTTGTAACGTCTGTGACGGAGGCGGGACTGTGATGGCCTCATCGTCACACTGAACTCTGTGGGCGGGGTCAGAGGGAGTGTTTTGGCCAGTTCCTGTTTTAAATGAAAGGCTCGCTTCACCACTGAAATGTGCTCATCAACTTATTTTTACGACTGTATGAGAAAACCACACACATTCCAGTGATGCCACACCTGTGATGTCACTCCTGAGGACCCTGCAGGACATCATTGATCTCACAGGACAGAAAACGAGCGTGGGCGCCTCAAGCAGCTTCCTGCGCTCACGTCCTCAACCTAGCCCTCCAAAGCTCAGCTCTCATTGGCTCATTATTGATCTGAACACTCGTTACATCAGCGCTCCTGCTGTCTTTGTCAGGACACCGCTGACTGGCTAACAAAGATGTGGGCGGAGCTGATCAGTGGTTCGTGTGTGTGCGTTACTTGTTCCAGTGGCTCTTGGAGTTCTTGTAGAGTGCAGGGAACATGATGGGGAGGATCTTGGCGGCGTTGTCGCTGATCAGACTCATGATGTACTCGTTGTTCCAGTAATACAGCGCTCTCTCTGCCACCTGCGCACACACACGCGCGCACACACACACACACACACACACACACACACACACACACACACACACACACACACACACACACACCTGTGTAGGTAAAAGCTGAGCTGCAGTAACTGGGAGCTCTGGTCTGAT